TCCCGAGCAGTTTTGGGAAGAGTAGTCAAAGCAACCGGGGAGGTTTTAGCTGTGCAATTGTCACAGAACACAATGCAGCTATAGAGTCAATAAGACACGAATTGCAATCTATGCACCCCGACGATTCACACATTGTTGTTTTGAGGCATAATGTATGGCGTGTCAAGGGTCTAATACAAGTAAGGGATCGGTCCAGTATTAGCTCGACTTGGACGTTTGGATTGTCCCTTCTTCATTTACGATGTCATTTTATCTTACATGTTTTTTACATTTGCAGATATCTAGATCTATTGGTGATGTATATCTGAAAAAGGCTGAGTTCAATAGAGAACCTTTATATGCAAAGTTTCGGCTTCTTGAGCCGTTCAAAACACCAATTTTGAGCTCGGAGCCATCAATATCAGTTCACCAGCTACAGCCACAAGATCAGTTTATTATATTTGCATCTGACGGGCTCTGGGAGCACCTTAAGAATCAAGAAGCTGTTGATATAGTTCAAAACAATCCTCGCTCGGTGAGATACAAACCTTAAGATACAAAACACTATCATTTTACCATGGTTTATTTAAATTGACACGGCTTATCGACCTTTTCAGGGAATTGCAAGGAGGCTAGTGAGAGCCGCACTTCAAGATGCGGCAAAGAAGAGAGAAATGAGATATTCAAGATGCGGCAAAGAAGAGAGAAATTAGGTATTCTGTACATAGTGAAGACTTGCCATGGATATCCTACCCCATCCTCTTTCACCTACATCTTTAATGTGTATATTGTATAGTCAGTTGTTACAGTTTACAATGCTTGGTCCTTGTAGTTAAGACTACATTTTAACAAGGTCTATATCCCCCTCTCCAATCTTTAAATTGTGTATATGTAAATTATGTACATCCGTATATGTATGTAAAGGTCATTTGTTGCTGATGTGAAACACATGCATGGTATCTACAGATTACATATTAACGGGTTACGATTTTTTTCATTTAGAGTTTCATTTTTGTAATGTACATATCTAAGTATTTGTTATTGACTTTATAGCAATGTTTGGTTGCTTTAAAAATTTAAATGTGATTAGTGTTGCATTGTCTTATTCAAATTAGATTTTTATTTTATATTATTGTTACTTTGATATTTAACAATAACTATAATATTTTAAATATTTAAACACAATTAATAATAAAAACTAAAAATCTGAGAGAGAAATTACTTGCGAATTTACCTGCGAATTTACAATTTGCTGCGACTTTTCCTGCGAAAATTTCAATTACCTACGGCTTTTTTTGCGAATTTATCTACTTTATCTGTGACATTTTCATGCGACAATTTCCTGCGACTTTACCTGCTAAGTTAATTATCCACGAAGGTTTTAGCTGAGAACAGAAAATAGTTTCAGAAAAATCCTAAAAAATTCCAAGTTCTTATTTTTCTTAATTAGATTAAATTTCGTGTCTTTAGATTTTTATGAATTTATTTTAATAATTTTTCTTCTTTGATTTTGTTTCTGCCTATATAGGGACATTGTTGGCATTATCGCATTTGTTGATGAATTAGTCCTGACTACTAGGTCTTCTTGTTCTGGCTTTTTTTATTTTGATCCTTAACAATTGTAGTTCTGATTCTTTATTCTCACATTGCTTGTTTGATTCTGATTCTGAATTTTCTTTCGACAATAACATTTCTGACCAAAGAACATTAAGAGAGCTTGCTGCCTCTGATGCTAATTATAATTGCTTGTGTATTGAATATGTTGACCCTGCTGTTCCTTTTGAATTAAAATCTGGATTAATACACTTTTTATGAGATTTAGTGGTATTGCAGGTGAGGATCCACACAAGCATCTTAAAAAATTCCAGATTGTTTGTTCTACTCCACTGAGGCCTGAAGGAATTACAGAAGAACACATCAAGCTGAGAGCCTTTCTGTTTTTGCAACAAAGTGCGGCCCAAAGATTAGTTATATTATCTTGAGCCAAATTTGGTTGCAGCTTGAAATGATTTGAAGAAGGTATTCCTAGAGAGGTGCTTTCCTGCATCCAGAGCTGCTTCGATACAAAAAGATATTTGCAGTATTAGATAGCTAGATAATGAATCATTGGTTGAATATTGTGGGAGATTTAAACAATTAGTTTCAAGTTGCCCATACACCAAATCACCGAGTAATTATTGATTCAGTATTTCTATAAAGGATTAAAACTAATGAATAGGAATATTTTAGATGCTGCTAGTGGTGGAGCACTTGTTTATAAGACTCTAGCTGTTGCCAAAGCCTTGATTAAGAACATGTCACTTAACTCCCAACAGTTCACAACGAGAAACAATTTTGTCCAAATAAAAGGTTTGAATGAGGTTCATGTTTCTTTTTCCAGCAAGGCCTTTGAAAATAGAATGGATGAGCTAACCGAATTAGTGAAACAGTTGGTAGTGGTAGGTAAGGCTCAAGCAGCAGCCTAAACAACAAGGTTATGTGGTGCTTGTACTTCCCCTAACCATCCAAACTTCGATGGAAATCAACAGCTTAACCAATAATAGTTGATGTTACTGTTACCACCACCACAAAACCCTCCACAGGCTGCAACCATTTCTGCCCCAGCTTCAAAACCTTCATTATAAGATATTGTTAAGCAAATGGCTATCAATAATCTCCAATTCTAGCAGCGGACAGATTCCAGTATCCAAACCCTGCAGACACATATAGGGCAGCTTACTTCTTCAATTAATGACATTTATCAAGCACAAGGATGCAACCAACTACCCTCTCAAATAGTGGTAAATCCTAAAGGTCCTAATGTGAGTGCAATGTCCTTGCGATCCAAAAAAGTTGCAGATTCTGCCCCAGAAAAAATGAGAAAGTTGTTGAGGTCACACATGAACATGAACCTGAACCTTCTGTCGTTGTTGAGGCAAAAGAAAGCGAGTATGTACCTAAGGTACCTTTCCTACATAGAGTAGCAAAAACTAAAAAGAGTGAAGAGAGAGAGAGAGAGAGAGAGAGAGAGAGAGAGAGAGAGAGAGAGAGAGAGAGAGAGAGAGAGAGAGAGAGAGAGAGAGAGAGAGAGAGAGAGAGATTCTGGATGTATTCAGGAAAGTGGCAGTGAACATTCCACTTCTTGATGTCATTAAGCAGGTTCCAAAGTATACAAAACTTCTGAAAGATTTGTGCACACACAGGAGGAGAATGAAGGGAAATGAGAGAGTGAACATGGGAAGAAATGTTTCAGCCTTCATTCAACTTAAACATGCACCTGAAAAGGCTAATATTTCAGCCCTCAATCATGCCATGTTGCCCCATAAATGCAAGGATCCAGGAACTTTTTATATTCCATGTACCATTGGGGATAGTAAATTTGAAAATTGCATGATCGATTTAGGAGTAGGAATTAATGTTATGCCTACTTCCGTTTATAATAATCTTAATCTTGGTCTTTTGCAACATACAGGTTTAATCATCCAACTGGGGAGCAGGAGCAATACTCGCCCTATTGGAGTAGTGAAATATGTGCTTGTCCAAGTTAATGATTTGCTTTTTCCTGTAGATTTTTACATTATGGACATGGCCGGAGAAAAAAATTCAAGCAGATCACCAACCATTTTAGGCAGATCATCCATGAAAATGACAAAAACAAAAATTGATGTTGATAATGGAATAATGTCCATGGAGTTTGGTGATATCATTGCTAAATTTAACCTTTTTAATGCTATAAATTATCCTATGGAAGAACATTATTTTTTTCACATCGGAGTGCTTTCTGAGTCGGGTGATGATACTTATTCTGATTTATTTTCAACCGATTTTCCATGATTTCCTACTTTTGATAATACTTACTCATGTGATTCTTCCTCTACTTTTGCTGAGATTAAGGCTGCTCAGTAGGTTGACATTGACATTGTTCCTACAGGTGAAGTTATCGATGAAGAAGATGTTTATGCAGCTGAAGCTCTCGACATCAACGTTGCACCAACACCATCTATTGGGAAGCCCCTTCTCTTTGACACTTTTACTCATCCGAGATCTTTCTTTAATCCTGGAATAAAGGTCGAAGAAACTATACCAATTTTTAAGGACGGTGAGCATCACCTGAAGTTGATCCATGAGAACTCCAATTTAGAAGAAGAGACTATAGAAGAGCCTTCACTAGCAAAGGTTGTTTATGCCATCACCTATCCTCCATGACTACTCGAGTGTGTTCTTTCCTTTCTCTCACTCTTATTTAATATTTATGTCCTTTCATTAAGGACAATGAATGTTTTAAGTATGGGGAGGGAGCCATTTCTTTGTTTTGTTTTCTTTTAGTATTCTTAATTTTTTTTAAAGTGAAAACAAATTAGTCTTAGAAACACAATGCATATTTTGAAATGTTTAGGCTATAAATTAATTTGAGGTTAGATTGTGGAGACTTGGAAAAAGTTCATAAGATCGGTACCGTTTTAACACCTTAAGTCTCCCGAAGATGGAAACCGATTTAAATACTTGTTATGACATAACTTTGAGTTCTCATCCTTTAATAGCTCTTAAGTAGTTTATCTAGCAGTCAGCACCATCTAGAAATCACACGCTAAGTAATTAAGCTGATGCAAATAAGTGAATGATCTCGTGCTTAATATGAAATCTGAATAGGAAATCGCCTTTCAAGTTAGATGATCCTCACTCGGTCACTTAGGCTAACGGTTGTGAAACCATAAAAAAAATGGTTAATTCTGAATTGTTGAAAATATATGGATCATAGTCACTAAGAAGATTATTTACCATGTGTGTGAATAGATAACGGGTTTAATATGATTGCATTAGAATGAAAGAGAGCAAAAAGGAGGATGAGTAAGTTAGGCTTAAGCATAATAACATGATTCAGATTGGTTTGTATAGAAGGGAGGTTTATGACTACACAATTGCATATTTGTGTTCTTACGATATCCTTACTGTGCAAAATTAGTACTTATTGATACAATCTTGACCGAAGAAGAGTTTGTGGCCTAGAATGATTATTCGAATGCTATTATTTTTCACGAGTCTTGATACTATTTTGCTCGGAGTGCAAAAGTTCAAGTGTGGGGGAATTTGATCAGTGCATCTTAATGCACATTCTCTTAAGTTTGTAAGTAGCTATTTTCTTAGTTTGTTTGGTTTATTTTAGTGTTTTATTATGTTTTTATAATTAATTCTTTGTTTGGCGTTAATCTATTTACACAGCTTATTTTCAGCTTTAGCGGTTATTTGATACATATTCACTGTTCAGATCATAACTAGAGCTACGAGGATGGGACTTATGCATTCTACCATTCGTTGGAAAGATGAGACAAATAGATACAACTTTCATATTTTATGAAGAAGCTGATTCGGAGTGTAGCAAGCTAGAATAATTCGTTTAAACTCAGGACCCGAATTCTGCCTTTAGGAATATTTAATTTTGGGCCGGGTTTTTTTATGTTTTTCGACCATGTTTGGTTAGAACCGTATTTTGTGTGCTTCTCTATACCTAGTAGCATTCGTGCTACTGTGGAAGATGACTTTTCACTATTCACAATTTTAGTTTTTGCTTTTGTACGATTGAATGGAGAACTAATTCTAAGGATTAATCTGCTGTAATCAGTTTTCGCCAACACTTTGAGGTTATTCTAATTTCTAATAAAATCTATTTCCTTTCAATCCTTCTATGTGATATCTTGTTTTCTTAATTCGATTTATCTTAGGGTTGATTGATTTA